CACCAGGAATGGCCGATTAAACGTGAGTATAAAGTTATCAGCCTTTAATTCACGAAAATTATGTAAAAAAAACTTCAAATGCTTTTTTCTCAAAAGTAACATTTTCAAACTGGTCAGACACTTTTCTCCGAACCTTCTTAACCGATTTTAAAAAACCAAAAATTTTTCGAATGTATATGCAAAAGACTAGATGATAAACCTTTAAAATATTTAAAAACCACCCCCCCTTTTATTATATATGGGTAAATCCACCCAAAAACATAGCGATTTCTCGACTTTTTTGAAAAAACTCGTATAAACACTTCAAAATAATACAATTTGCATATTTTAAAGGTTTATCATCTAGTTTTGAGTCTCACGAATACAACCCATTTTGAATTTTTTGAATATCTGTTACAGGTGACCCACAAAGTCTCTTACCACCAAAAACGCACTTTTTACTACACGCCATCTACAGGACACCAATGAAGTTAAAATCGCTATTAAAAATTTTTTTATGTACTTCAAGACTTACTTCATCATCTCCAAAAGGAATTATGTTAATAAATATTATAGTTTTTTTTCTGCTTTAATTTTAAAATGTGTCTCTTTTTTTTTAATCGCATGAGACTGTCCCCTTAATATTTTGCCCTATGTATTTTATGAGATTTTACGTCCTTACGTGCTACTTTGGTAATCTTTGACTGTTTCTTCCTTTGATCAGGAGAAAGCTATGTAATCATTTTTTGGACTCTAGAACTTTTCCTGTCAGAGTTTGCTCTTAGCGGGACAAACGAAACGATTTTAAGATTTCTTAATAAAACTGTCGGTATCCTAAACCTATTGAGCTAATACTACAAAAAGGACTTAGTTTTACCAAAATAATAGGAACAAAATTGTAGTAGCAAGAAATGCAGTTTTTAAATATCTACATGTTACGATACTCCTTAAGCTTCTGGTGATTGTTTATCATACCAATAGTTAAACAATCTTAAAACTTGATTTTATCAAAAAATAAAATGTTACATAGTTAACCAAGCTTAGAATAATAAAAAAAGGCTTGGCAAATAAAAATAAAATAAAAAGCATGCAGCTATAAAATATAAAAGTAATTTTACATATTGTAAAAATAATGCAAAATAAATCGAATTGTCTTAAAGATAAAAGAATTAGCAAATAAGTAAGCTGTTTCATGCGTAAGCAGTAAGAAAATGTAATTATTGAAATGTTTAATTTCGTTTCAAATAAAAATCAGTAATAAACGCTTAACCATAACGTAACTTATATTTTTTTCTAAATTCGAGCCCGTTTCCTTCTAAAACAAACTGCGTTCGCGTGCTGACAAACTTCAAATGCGGCATCTGAGAGTGGGCCTTCTGATTGTTATTTATTCTGTGGTAAGGATGTCGTATTTTCAGCTTTTTTTAGGGACTTTTCAACTCTAAGGTGGATGTTCTGGAAATTTTAAATACAAGTGACGTCACTTTGTATAAATTGTGTCGTAAAACGATTTTACTTTGAAATATCTTATACAAATAACTCTCACGTTCCAGTTAGATCATAATATTCTCATATTCTCAGAAGATATTCTCTCATTCGCTACTCCCCAGTTGTAAAGACTATATTCCACAATTTAAATATTTATTCTACAATTACTTCAACATCGAATTGATGCCTGATTCGACGAAAATTTATTAATCAGTAGACTTCGGCAAATATGCATATTGCATATTTTGCATATTGTGCATATTTTATGCAAATATTTCATATTTTGGCATATTTGTATAAAAGTTTGCATAAAATGCATAAAAGTTCAGATTTTTATATTGTATTTGAAAATTTTTAAACATACCAAATTATTTCAATTCTTGTATAAAATTTTTTAGTCATTTTAATCAAGAAATGATCTAAGTACGTAATCTCTACAGGTACAAAACATTTACAATTTCAAAGAAGATCAATTTAAGTAGACCTCAACATTCGAAAGTCTCGGTCACTGAGGCATTCAGTTATTGGATAATCGCTAAGGGTTCGCTCATTTGCATTTTATGATCTAATCCCCAAATCTATCTACAATTTATTGTATCTTAACAGCAGGTAAACGGCTAATAGTATTGTTCCTAATTTAGGGATTTTCCAAAATCTCCCAGATTATTGAATTAGGCACCTAAACATTTCTAATTTGATGCTCAATTTGTAAATCATTTTTGTTTTGATATTCAAAGCGTAAACACTCGTTGTGCGTAACAAAAAGGAAGATTGTGATTTTATAATGTCTAAAACAACCAGTGCTTCAACTTGGATTAAACCTTATAAAGAGCTGTCTATGGATATGGGAAAAATCTACTGTTCAGTCTGTGGCAAAATTGTAAGTATCTAATATTTTCTATTAAATATCTAATATTTCATACATACAGGGTGTTTCCAAATGACACTTACAACGTTTGACTGTAGATACTTCTCGAAAAATTGAACAAAACGATATAGTTAATGATGGGTCAAACTTATTTACTTTTCGAGATACAGGGTGTTAAAATTAAAAAAAAAATTAAATTCTTTTAGTTAATAACAACAATAACTTTAAAACCAATAAACGTATTTACTTGAAATTTAGTACTCGTAGGTTGTTTTTAAATGAAAAATAGCTTCCTAGTGAGAAAAAATTGTCCATGGTACAATACAATGGTGTGTATTTAGAAAAATTTTTCACCTTTACTTTTTTTTATGAAGTCAGCTAGTCTAAAACACAATTATTTTTATTGTAATTAAATTAACAAAAAAAAACTTTTGTTGAATTTTAAAATAAATTATATGATGTACTAATGGTTAGTAACAAAAACTAATTTGTGGATTAATACTGCATTTAAAACACTTAGCGAGTGTTTTTTTTTCCAAACCAGTTATTTGATTAACCAAAAACACCTTGTATATTTTTATATTTTAAAGGTTGGGTTAAAATAAAGGTTTTTATTTTTATTTATAGATAGCATGTGAGAAGAAATTTCAGATAGACCAACATGTGAGAACTGCTTCACACATTGCAAAAAAGGAAAAATAGGAGGAAAACATCAAACTTCAATGGCTAAATGTTTCCAATCTACTTCAAAAAAATTAGATGAGCAAGAAACTTTTAATGAAGACTTGTGTCGCGCATTAGTGTCTGCAAACATACCGCTTTCAAAATTAGCAAATGTAAATTTTAGTTCGTTTCTAAAAAAATATTGCAAACTTAATGTTCCAAGTAATCGGTCTCTAAGAAGAAATAATGTGAACGGGCTATACTCGTCGGTGTTAATTAATATTAAGGAAGAAATTGCAGATAATTATTTTTACATATTTGTAGACGAAACCACTGATTCCTCAGGAAAGTATATTGCTCATTTATTGATTGGTGTTCTTAAAGAAGATACCTTACCAAAATCTCATCTTATTTCATGCCAGCAACTTGAGAAAACAAATGCTTTAACAATTTCGCGTTTTATACAAGAAACATTAGCAACTTTTTTTCTTCCGACAACTATTCCTTCTAATAAATTACTGCTTATTTTATCGGATGCTGCTCCTTATATGGTGAAAGCAGGACAAAATTTAAAAATATTTTTCCCAGATTTAATACACATGTTACTTGTGTAGCGCATGGATTAAACAGAGTTGCAGAGGAAATACGAAAAAAGTTTCCTCTTGTAAATACCATGATATCCAGTGTCAAAAAAGTATTTCTTAAATCTCCTATAAGAATTCAACTTTATAAAGAAATGCTACCTAACATTCCTCTTCCACCACAACCTATTTTAACGCGATGGGGAACATGGTTAAAAGCAGCTAATTTTTATGCAGATTATTTTGTTAAAATAAAGAACATAATTGATACGTTAACAGATGAAAGTTCCCAATCTCTTTTGGATTCTAAACAAACTTTTCAGAGTAACTTACTTCAACAAGAACTTTCATTTATAAAATCAAATTTTAGTTTTGTTCAAAAAACAATTACTCAGTTAGAATCACCAAAACTGTCATTGTTCGAAAGTACAGCATTAATAAAAGAATTTGCGTCAGGTTGTCGGAACGTTAGAGGTAATATTGGAAAAGATATTTTAAAAAAATTTGAAGCTACTATGGAAAAAAATAAAGGTTACCATATTCTTTCTGAAGTAGTCAGTGTTCTAGCTGGAAATATTTCGGAAACAATTAATTTAGAACCAAATGTTTTGGTTAGTTTGAAAAATGCTCCCGTTACATCAGTTGATGTTGAACGAAGTTTTTCCATATATAAATATATGTACTCAGACAGAAGCCACAAGTTTTTGTTAGAAAATTTTGAACACCACTTGGTCATTTATTGTTACCATAATTCTAAATAAGTTTATTCATACTTAAAAATGATGTAGTTACTTAAAATAAATGTAAATCTTAATGAATAGTAGGAAATATTTAGTTATGTACACTTTTTTTTTAAATAAAATTGTTACTATTTTACGATTTTTTTTATTTATTTGTATGCATATTTTGTAAAATATTTGCATATTTTCGGGTAAACACGTTCATATTTATGCGCATATTTTCTACATTTTATTTGCATATTTGCCGAAGTCTATTAATCAGTCTTTATAATCATCAGCCACTTGGTTGAAGAAGTTTGGTTCTCGTATTGTTTTGAGGACAAGAGACATTAACAACAAAAGGTATTGCTCAATTCAATTTAACGGTTCATTTTTATTTGAGTTAGTTTGTTAATTTTGGTAACTGTACAAGTACAATAATTAAGATTCAATTTGCTACATGTTGTAGCACTGTTACAAAGTTACAAACTGTTACTTTTATTGGTTAATGTGCTAAATTTAATTTGCCAAATATCTTAAATTTTTAAGATAAAACTTGTGAAATGCAGGGTTAGATTAGTTTATGAGTTAACTTGTTAAATATAAGTTTGGGCAAATTCTTACTTATTACATTTTCCTACCACCAAAGCAAATCCATGGCTGTTAAAAGTTTTGTACCTACGAACAAATCATTACACTCACAAAATTTTTGTCCAGTATCGACAATCGTCGACGTAGAATAATTCTGTACTAGATCCTTAAGGTATTCCTGACGAGTTCTCGTCGCCATCGTGACAAATTTTTCGGATCGATGCGCAGCATTCTCCGCGTTCACCACTTTGGCGAGCAAAAATTCAGCGAAAACTTTGCCCTTCGGAAAGATGGCTCCTTCCTTAATGGGGGGTCCGAAGACTTCGACGTCCTTAGATCGACTTACAGCTACCTATAATGTAATTAAAATATACGATCACACATAGTATACACCAAGATATCCATAGGCACTCTAATCTTATATCAACACTGACATAGATATACAATTTAATATTATTTAATTATAATTACAATAAAGATTAAAGCCTAAAAAGTCCAATAACATATTATAATCATTTTTTAGTGTCTAAATCAATCAAAATTTTACAATAATTATCCTGAATAGTATCTAGGTTGTAGCATTGCAGCCAATGCCCACTGTAAAAGTGCCCACTTCTTAGTAAAAGTGGCCAAGAGAAATCGCTGGAAATAACTTTCAAGATTCTGGATTAACCGCTAGGGGGCGTAACCTGCGAAGAAAATTTTGAAAACCAGTTTTTTGAGAAATATGTCCAATTATACCAAGTGTTAAATAAGTAAACTAGAAAGAGGCGTAAATTCTGCACAAATTTGTTTAAGTACTTTTTTTTTTATTTTTTCAAATAAAGGGTGGGGGAGAGTGGGAAAGTATTTGTGGATAAATACCTATAACTTTGGTTTGGATCAACCGATTTTAACAAAATTAGTGTCATTAGAAAGAGTATAGATGAGTTAATTTACATCTACTGTAAAATAATTGCATTTAGTTTTAATTGTCGTAGGTAGAGGGTACTTTCGAATAGAAAAAATTAAAATTTGTTTTTCTTCAAAATTTTTAATGGAAACACCTATTTATTGTAAATTATATTGGAACTGGATTAAATTCGTAACAAAATGGCGCAAACCGCATGTTAATAGCTTTTATCGAACTCGAGATATGAATAAAAACACATAAACATAAGTAAGTATAGTATTGACACACCCTGTATTATAAAATAAATTAAAAAGTAAGTCAGTAGGTACTTTCAAATTTTTTTATAGCAGAAAACTCTTAATGTTGATACCTATTTTGATCATTGTTATTTCATATGATTAAAAATTGTTTTTTCGAAACTAAGTAGGCTACGACAATGAATTTGACAGGGAGTTCATATTGTTTATTTATTAACAGCAGTCAAAATATTGTTAAGAAGTGTTATATGTATTAAAATTCGAATCGAAAATTGCATTTTTTTCAATAGATATTAATATTGGTAATATTAGTAATTAATTATCAGTACTAATAATTCGTGATGAGTATATCAAATTGTATGATATGATTGGAGTTTATTTCGAATATCACCAAAATAGCGCTATTGCCTCACGTATATATTCTGTAAGATATCCTGGCAGGAGATATTGTGGCAAAGAAGTAGAGATTTCGGGCTACTTATATGTGGATTCTGTTGAATTAAAGCAAGAACATTGATTGAATTATCTTCGGTCATAACTCTACTACGTCGTTTAAAACAAGGACGAGAAAAACTACCAGTTTCTCTTAATCTTTTTGCCTTTCTTTCAAATACTTGTTTGCCATAATGTCTCCTGTCACGATATCTTACAAAATATATACGTGAGGCAATAGCGGCATTTTGGTGGCATTCGAAATAAACTCCAATCATATCATACAATTTGATATACTCATCACGAATTATTTGTACTGATAATTAATTACTAATATTACCAATATTAATATCTATTGAAAAAAGTGCAATCTTTAATTCGAATTATAATATAGCACTTCTTAACAATGTTTTGACTGCTGTCAATAAATAAACAATATGAACTCCCCGTCAAATTCATTGTCATAGCCTACTTAGTTTCGAAAAAACTATTTTTTACAAAATAGGTATCAACGTTAAGATTCTTCTGCTATAAAAAAAAATTTAAAATACCTACTGACTTATTCTTTAATGTAATTTATAATACAGGGTGTGTCAATACTATACTTACTTATGTTTATGAGTTTTTATTCATATCTCGAGTTCAACAAAAGCTATTAACATGCGGTTTGCTCCATTTTGTTACGAATTTATTCCAGTTCCATTATAATTTACAATAAATAGGTGTTTCCATTAAAAGTTTTTAAGAAAAACAAATTTTAATTTTTTTTATTTGAAAGTCCCCTCTACCTACGACTATGAAAACTAAATGCAAGTATTTTATAGTAGATGTGAATTAACTCATCCACACTCTTTCTAATGACACTAATTTCATTAAAATCGGTTGGACCAAACCAAAGTTATAGGTATTTATCCACAAATACTTTCCCACTCTCCCCCACCCTTTATTTGAAAAAATAAAAAAAAAGTACTTGAACAACTTTGTGCAGAATTTATGCCCCTTTCTAGTTTACTTATTTAACACTTGGTATAATTGGACATACTTCCCAAAAAACTGGTTTTTAAAATTTTCCTCGCAGGTTACGTCCCCTAGCGGTTAATCCAGAATCTTGAAAGTTATTTCCAGCGATTTCTCTTGGCCACTTTTACTAAGGAATTTTTTTTCCTAAAGTTATAACATGAATAGTTTCTGATATATAGCCGAGAGATCGGCTTATTGGACCACCCGGTACAGTTGGAGCCTAAAAAAAACTGATAGAAGCGTATTTTGTAGAAAATTGAGCAGTGTATTTCGAAAGCTAAATACTTAGTATGTACATACTGTCACTGTCACTACCAAATCTTAAAATTTATCAGATAACTTATTCCGTTCAACCTCAAAAAATAGCTGTACGTGCTAACAAAGAACTAAAAACAAGAAGTGCAATGAAATTAGAAGATGGTTGGTCGCTATCTGCCGTAGCGAACCATATTAACGTAAGCAAAACAACAGTTTTTAATATCAATAAAAGATGGAGTGAACAAAAAACTCTCGAAAGAAAGCAAGTTTCTGGAAGACCAAAAATATCTACCGCTCATGAAGATGCTTCTACGCTTTTGGAAATATTAGAAGAAAATCCTTGTGAAGATGCGGAAACTGCAAGAATTATGTCACAGTTTCCGGGAAGAAAGACAACGACTTGGCGCAGAATTAACTGCAGCAAAAAAATAAGGTCTTACACCACAACAGAAACAATCAAGACTTATATTTGCTTTTAACCATCAAAACAAAATCAAGATTTTTGGGACGGTAAAATCTACAGATGAGAAAATTTTTCAACCTTCTAAAAAGGGCAAAATTGGGGTGCATAGACCTGATAATAATAGATGTAATCCTCTATATCAACGGTTGGCAACAGGCGGACCGCGAAAGGTTGAACTGCGGAATATCGATTGCTGAGCCAATCAAGTTCAAAATAAAACTGCTGTTAATTTTTAAATAGGAAGTGAAATGATAAATAAACATAATAACAATTATGTATAACTGATGAAATATTGTTTTATAATAATATTGTATGTTTACAGTAACTGAAATATATAAATCTGGGGAATTCTGTTCAAAATCTAGCAACATTTAAAACACAATTTGGGAAAATAAAATTTATGAGTCTGGTAACGCAGCCAGCTGGCCATTGACTGACAGTCGTTCACTAGTTGGTGAGTGGCATGCACTTAGCGGACTACCGTTAATTTATTTTGTGATTACTCGCGTTTTCGTCGTTTTATAAAACATCTTTTTGTACCTACGTTAATATGGATCCGAAAAGGAGAAAAGTGGACACTGAAAATAGGAAGTTTCTGGCAGAATGAACTGAACAATATTATTTTACACTGCCTGATAGGCCGCAAACGGTTCCAGTGTGCCTTATATGCAATAAAACTGTCGCCTTGGTTAAAAGTAAAGATTTGAAGCGACAGTACGAAACAACTTATCAGCAGCTCCACAAAAACTTTTCTCTTTGCAGTCAGGCGCGTAAAGAAAAAACGGGTATATCTTAATTCTTACGAAAAAAAGCACGAAAATCCTAGTTCGCTGCATGAGCGACCAAGAAAAATCCACAGAGGCAGTGTTACGTGTGTGCTAGATACTTAATAAACACCAAAAACCATTTTCTGATTCTGAGATAGCGAAGGAATGTGTGCTGGCAGTAGCTAACTCACTTTTTTGAAGAAAAAAAAGATGTTTCGTCAGAAATTCAAAGAATTTCATTGTCAGCGCGAAGTAATACACGAAGAACGGAAATTTTTGCTGCAGATATTAAAAACTCTCTTCTTAATCTTTTGTAAAAAGATAACGCCATAGCACTTGACGAATCATCTGGCATTGTTGATGATGAACAAATGTCTGTTTTTGTAAGATTTTTTGATATTGAGTCAGATTTTTAGGGAAGAGTTGCTAACAATATTGCCGCTGAAAGGTAACACTCGAGGAGAAGATTTATTCAAGGTTATTGATGAATTAATTTCTAAATCTAACATCAGTTATAATAAAATGATTTTGCTTTCTACTGAAGGGGCTCCAGTAGTGATTGGCAAAGAAAAAGGTGTAGTAAAGAGGATCAGGGATAAAAATTCAAATTTAATAACATAGCAGTGCACAATACATCAGTCATCCCTTTGTAGAAAACTTAGTGCTAGACTTAAAGAAGTCATGGACAGTTTAGTGAAGTTGATTAATTTGATGAGATCTCATTCTGCTCTTCAGCACCGACATTTCAAGGAGTTTTTTTCTGAATGTGATTCAGCATATTCTGACTTACTACAACATAATAATGCTCGTTGGTTAAGTAAAGGTCAAGTTACGGAACGTTTCTGGCCAATAAAAGAACATGTGATCTCCATCTTACAAAATATAGATACGCAGGAAGCTAGAGCACATTTTGAGTATATAACAATCGGGCGCAACATGCAGATTGTGACTTTTCTAAAAGATAATTTAAAATATTTGAATGCGCTTAACATAGAGTTACAAGGAAATGGAAAATTAGTATGTGATCTGATACAAAGCGTGTCTGCTTTTCGTCGTAAGCTGAATATCTTTGAAAAAGACATTGCACAACAAGAATTTATTCATTTTCCATCTATTCTTGAATATAATAAAAATAAGGAGTACTCCGAAAAAGACATTGCAATGTTCGTAAAATTTCTGTGCGATCTTAGGAACGAATTTGCTTCAAGATGCCAAGACTTTGCACAGGTAAGCAAACTATCTTCATTTCTAAAATCACCATTTGAAGTCGATGCAGCGGCAGAATGGACAGATGTGGCTACTAAGCTGTTTAATCTGTCAAAAGCATTACTTCAAATGGAGATTATTGAATTACAAGAACATGGGCCAAACATGTGACTGCAAAATATGAAAATTGCAGACAACTTGCAATCAATTTGGCCACTATGTTGGGCTCAACGTACATGTGCGAAACGTCGAATTTGTTATTCTACTTGAGAACCAGAACACAAACAACTAGCTCAAGACCGTCGGTACAATTTTTCGCATTCATTTAAGGTCTTTTGTTTTATCATTAAAAATGTACCAAAATAATAAACATCTTGTCATTAAATGTTATCATTTGTTTGTTTTCTGGACCTTGTTCAAATTTTCTTCTGGTATCCGGACCCCACATAAAATTACTTGCCGACCCCTGCTCTCTATGTTGATAGCATGGACGTATAAACACAGATGGACTCAGTTATTTACATAAAAAATGTGAAGTCAAAATTATTTGAATAGGTCACATTCTCAGCACCTTCAACTGTTGTCACGTTTTGTTTTAAAATTTCTTATTCGCGAGTCGCTGAAAATATCACTCCGTATTTTATACTCTACAGGTGCTATCAAACCAAAATAATAATTTATTGGTTAGATTAATATATTTAATTGTAATCAAAATATAAAGTGTGCACATAGTGTGCATTATCATTTAATAATAACGTATAATTTAGATATCAATCAATTATTTTATATGTAGAAGCACTGAAACCTATTTATAAATGGCAACGGTTGTTTACATTTCTCTGTGTTATGGATCTACGTCAAACTTCAAATGCTGTTCCATGTTTGTTTACTTTTTAGTAAAAGTTGTTATTCGATATTTTGGCTGTATTTTGAGTGATATTTGTGAAAAGTGAAATAAAATAAACGAAATATTTACATCCCGATTTCTCATTTCATTTGTAAGTACATAAAATTTACATTATTTAAGATGAGGAAATGAGGAAGCGTGTTTGTTTACATTTTAATAGGCGTACCATTGAGTTTATTCATGTTCATTAATATATTAAATAACATATAAGTTCATGAAATTAGTAGACATTTTTAAATTGTAAATAGACATCATCTGATTAAAAAAGATCTATTTAGTACCTTTTTAATTTAATATTTCTCATGAATGCAAATAAATTAGTGAAATGAATAAAACTCATTTATTTTTCTATGTAGGTTTCCAAATAATATTGACGATCGAACTATTTTGGTAGCAAATTTAGGAGAAAACATAAAGATTTTTTATTGTAGCATTATTTTGATACCTATTAAAAATTAACCTAAATTCAACTATATTTTGTTGTATTAATTTTACAGCAAATAAAATTGTATTTTAATTTTTCTATAAAGACGTGATTTGTTAATAGTTAAACTATCGTTTTTTTTTAATTCTTTGAACGTGTTTTTATACATTATTACTACTTCCAATTTTTAAAATCTGAATAGTTACCCGCGAGTAAAAATTCAAGCACGCTTATGCTCATTGCGGAAGCATCACATTCTATCGAAGCTTCAAAACATTGTGTGTTAAAGGTATCTTATTGCTGTGTCCATCTATGTTTATACGTCCATGGTTGATAGATATCGAGCAGCTGGTCATTTTAGCGCCAATGTATGGAGATGGATTTCATCTAGAGGAATGGGAATGGTATGGCGTATTGGTGGCAGGTTTGTTGGGCAGGCTTATCTGAATATTCTAGAAAACATCATGTTTCTTAGTGTACAACAGTTATATCCAGAAAACACTTTTATCCTCCAACAAGATAATTGTCCTGTTCACACTTTACACTAATATAATAAATCAGTGGCTCCAGAATAACATCTTAACTATACCACCGCCCAGCTACAGTCCAGATTTAAACCCAATCGAGAATGTTTTGAGGGGTTATTATAAAACGGTTGTATCGGCGTAATTTTAAACCTCAAAATGCTGAAGAGCTGTGGCACGGTATACAACAGGTTTGGGAAGAGCTCTCTGAAGAAGACAACTACACTTCTTTTCCCTTGTGGATTTTAAAAATTAAGAGATTAGTTTGCATATATATGGTAAAAAGATTAAATTAAAATGAGGCAAAGATCTAAATTAGATCTAAAAAATTCACAACTTCACTCACCTATAAAATAAGAAAAGTTATACTCGTACTAAAGTACTAAAAACATTTTTGTTTTAACACTTTAAACACACAAGTAAAATCAGTTTTAATCGAATCTATATATAACACTTTATTTCACTAATTAAAATCTTACCTTATAATGAGTGTTTTCCGTACATGGGTTTATAGCATGTACGACGATAAAAACATGTTGAAACTGAGATCGAATACCTTTCGGAGTGAAAGGTAATGCACCGGGTTCTTGAAAGACAATGGTTACAATATCATTGCCAATGTGTCGTTTCCTGAGTAGCTGTTGACGGTTGTTCGGGGTGAATGGGAGCATGGTTGATACGTGGAACATAATCTCGCATTCTTGGTATTGTGCATATACGGAATATAGTCCGGTAGAATCAGCTAAAAATCAAAATTATATTAATTAAAATAAAGGTAAAACTAATCAAATAGTAACCAGTGCATGGTTTTGTTTTATATTCTTGCTATTCGCAATATATTCAAAATATGTCTCAAAGAAATTGAGCCATTTTGAATGCGATCACTAGGAGGATTTCTACAGATTTATATGTCTCTAAGATTTAAATTTAAGGTAAAACTTTTATCCCTTCGGGACTTTCACTTTGACGTGGTGAGAGGGTCAGTAACCTGAAGTGTACAGGGAGGTGCCGGAGATGCCGGAGGTAGCGTGCTACTGGTAGCGCCACCCATGCCGGTAAGGCCTCACCGTAAAGATGGTGAAGCCAAGAAAGTCCAAAAGTCTTGGCTTTACCAATGGTAATAATGCAATTACCATTATTATCAACAAAAGTGGAGAAATAACAAGTCTCGACAACTATAGGCCAATGTCACTTCTTTCCCATCTTTACAACCTTTACAACTTAAATCGTGTTAACCAAACTCCTGGACATCAAAGTGCACTTTTAAGAACCTAGCGATAGAGCTGATTTTAGAAGTGTATTCGGGACACACAATGGTTTGCAAACAATTAAGACTGTAAAAAAGAGATCAGTGGAATATAACAGACCACTTGTATAGTTTCCGTCAAGATATAAGAAATTTTGCCTAACGCTGTTGGAATCACCCTACCGATTTAGTATTATAATAACAAACAACAGAGACTCCAGGAGCGGATTCGCTAAAATTAACAGTACCGGGTGGTCCAATAAGCCGATCCCTCGGTTATATATCAGAAACTATTGATGCTATAACTTTACGAGAAAAAATTCCTCAGTAAAAGTGGCCAAGAGAAATCGCTGGAAATAACTTTCAAGTTTCTGATTAACCGATAGGGGGCGTAACCTGTAAAGAAAAATTTGAAAACCAGTTTTTTGGAAAATATGCCCAATTATACAAATTTTAAATAAGTAAACTAGAAAGAGGCCTAAATTCCGCACAAAGTTGGTCAAGTACTTTTTTTATTTTTTCATATAATGGGTGTGGAAGAGTGAGAAAGTATTTGTGGATAAATACCTATAACTTTGGTTTGGATCAACTGATTTTAACGAAATTAGTGTCATTAGAAAGAGTGTGGATGATTTCATGTACATGTACTATAAAACAATTGCATTTAGTTTTAATTGTGATGTGTACTTTGTGTAGAGGGTACTTTCAAATAGAAAAAATTAAAATTTGTTTTTCTTCGAAATGTTTAATGGAAACACCTATGCATTGTAAATTATAATGGAACTGAATTAAATTCGTAACAAAATGGCGCAAACCGCATGTTGATAGCTTTTATCGAACTCAAGATATGAATAAAATCGCATAAACATAAGTAAGTATAGTATTAACTCATCCTTTATTATAACTTAAAATTAAATATGTGAAAGATCGTACAAATATCTCGATCATTATCACTTAATGTCCAATTAAATGTTCAAATTGTTTTCCATCGTTGTCCACACAAAGATGTAATCTTTCGCGCGTAGACATAACAGCTGCTTTAATCTCAGCTGTTGATATACTATTTATTGCGTTTATAATGCGCGTTTCACACGCATGTCGTCTCGCGTGGTTTGTCGAGTTTGGTACACTCCTTTAAGTCCTTCAATCTTCCTCACAGATAAAAGTCCAGACATGTTAAGTAAGTCTGGAGATCTAGCTGGCCATGAAAATATACTTCCCCTTCCAATCCATTTATTTGGATAACTTGCATACAAATAATCTCGAACTCGCCTGGAAAAGTGCGCAGGACACCCGTCATGTTGTAATATCATATCTCTTCTTGTTTGTAAGGAAATACCTTCCAATAAAACAGGCAACTGATTTTCCTAAAAATCAGTTGCCTGTTGAATATGTTGCGCCATTTAAAGTTCTATCAAAGAAATATGGACCTACGATCTTTCCATCAACTATACCACACCAAACATTAAGACTCCATCTACCTTGAACCTGCACCTCATGTATCCAGTGCCGATTTTCTTCAGCCCAATAATGCATATTATGCAGATTAACACCACCCGCACTATTAAACGTGTTGGAGAACTACATGATAAAGATGCAGTCTAAAAAATAGAACAACAAATATTGGTGAAAAAAAAATCACTATATTTACTAAAACTCAAAAAATCTTGAAAAATCCACAATTGTTTCACAAGATAAATAGTGCATACAATAAGTATTTTTAAGAAACGGATAAAAGGATAAAAGCGCCGTGTTGCCGTTTTTATCGGAATATTAAAATAACAGTTAAATCTAAAGGGAATTCCAAGTTTCTGACCTAAACGTTCACTTTATAATATGAAAAACCAACCTGTGATGTTTTAAAATCCTTAGAACAGTAGTTTTGGGTATGTTTAATTCTATAGAGATTTGCCGATTACTTATTATGTGGATTCTGTTGAATTAAAGCAAGAACATTGCTTGAATTATCTTCGGTCATACCTCTACTACGTCGTTTAAAACAAGGACGATGAAAACTACCAGTTTCTCTTAATCTGCTTGCCTTTCTTTTAAATACTTTTTTTCCATAATGTCGTCTGTCAGAATATCTTACAGAATATATACGTGTAATATATGTATAATGTAATGTATATAAACCAAAGTTATAGGTATTTATCCACAAATACTTTCCCACTCTGCCCAACCCTTTATTTGAAAAAATAAAAAAAACTATTTGAACAACTTTGTGCAGAATTTAGGCCTCTTTCTAGTTCACTTGTTTAACACTTGTTATAATTGGACATATTTCCCAAAAAACTGGTTTTCAAATTTTTCTTCACAGGTTGCGCCCCCTAACGGTTAACCCAGAAACTTGAAAGTTATTTTCAGCGATTTCTCTTGGCCACTTTTACTAACGATTTTTTTCTCCTAAAGTTATAACATTAATAGTTTCTAATATATAGCCGAGAGATCGGCTTATTGGACCACCCGGTACATATAATATTTTGATAGGGTTGGAATAATAAATGTAAAATTAAATATCATATCATATATTTAATAATAACATAAAAAAATAAAATTTGAAGTTTAGATGGAAAAAAATAATTACAAATTACAACTCTAGGTCACTACCGCTGTCATCTTCTGTAGAATCGTCATCATCTAATGGTATAATTATTGGTTTACTATGTGAGGTTAATGTTCTGTAATGATCTTCCGTTTTTATAACATATGAAACACAATTTTGCCACAGTGTTGGGAAAATCTTTTTTATTTCTTCTACAACATTTGATACCGATTGGCTACTAAATTTGGGACAGCAGTTGTTTCGCCGTAATCTTCCCTTAAGTTGGCTCCAGATTAATTCAATAGGGTTGAAAACACAGTAATAAGGAGGTAATCGTAATATAATATGACCATCACGTTTGGCTAATTCGTCTATAACAAACTGTTTCTCAAATACTTTTGTGTGAAGAACTTCCAACATTTCTTTTTTTGTATATGTTTTTTTCAAAGTACAAATCATTTTCATACAAAAAACCGATATTTGTTTTTTCGTCGAGCCTACACTGGGGATTTTTCTAATTTGTTCGCTGTGATACGTCGCCTTATCCATTACAATGACACTTGTTGGAGGCAAATTTGGCAACCCTTTCTTTTCAAAACATTCCTTAAATAAGTTAATCGTCATATTTCCATGGTAATCCAGCTTTAAATCTTTAATGTTTTTTGTCGATAGTAAAAAACTTTCTTCTCCGAGCCAGCCATTGTTGGATCCAATGTTCAGAATAATTATTCGCTGACCTCTATTAATTGGATGCACACTTAATAGAGTCGTCTGTCCAAATATCAGTCTTCCTTCATCTCTAAATTTAGATACAGGATCCAAGTATTCGTTTCTCCAGTTGATAAGTCGAGGGGAATCCATTAATGATGATCGCTTATTAATTTTCTTGTATCGAAAACCAATGTGATTCAAAAACCTTGATAAAGTTGATGGCGAATACTTAATAGAATAGTATTTAACAAGTTAATCGTAGATCATACTAATCGTTGGAACTAGGTTCTTTGAATAGAAATTATAAACTGCTCTTCTAATTATGTCAGCGTCTTTCTTATTTACTGCTTTATATGTCGAAAAGTCACTCAGCTTTTTAACAGGTTGAATTCTTGAACAATTTTCTACACTGTTTTATATGGCATTCTTGTCAATCGAGATTATGCCTTGATGAAAAATTTACCGTCTTCTGGATTTGGATTATTTTCTTTTGCTGTTTGATAAACATTCCTAATAATTTCTTTGGCATCATCAGATAAATGTAAACGTGTTCTACACTTGGCACTAGCTTCACTGATTCCTGACATTTTACTTGAATAGTCGTGACCTAACCACCGATCGAAATGCAAGAAAACAACTGCCTGAATGTGCAAATGTCAAACTTAAATATGTTTGCCCCTTTTCTTAATGTTTCATAAATTATGTTTTCTAGATAAATACATGATACCTAATTATACCTAAAGACCTATTAGCACGAGAATTATACTGCGGTCTACTGGGTGATCCCACCAGCCTCAGGCCAAATATCTTGGACCAAACTTGTCAATTTCCAAAGAGCTTTCGACACTATTGAGCATCCTGCATTACATCAAATCAGTGTGAACTGCTTTTCGTCTTTCTAACAGACACCATACTCAAATGGTAAGTGTTATTTGTGCAAGATAACATTTATGACTTACGCCATATATTTTCTGTAATTTACATGCATACCTTTTTATTTTTAATCAAATGCTAATTCAAAGAAGCACCATATCGGTGCATATTTAAAAATAAAAGGAGTGTTTTTTTTCATATTTATCTTGAATGTGCACATGATAAGAACAATTATGTATATTTTATGAAATGTTGGAACGTTTTAATTTTTCGACGCTGATTGGCTAATAGCAGTATATATATATATATATATATATATATATATATATATATATATATATATATATATATATATATATGGCTTATATAGCAGTACCAACAAGATATAAAAACATGATAAAATCATCAAAAACGTACCCAGGTGCCGATGTTCATACGGACCACAATGTGTTGGTATGCAGAATGGTCATGAGAGTAAAACGGCTCGAGAAAAGATCTAATTTAAACACAATCGATATTAAAAAACTCACTAACCCAGAAACCGAAATAAAAGTACGAGAACAACTAGGAAAGAAAATAAAGGACATTAACGAGAACACGTCGGACATAATAGAGAGATGGGATAAATCGAGGGAAGCAATCCAAACAACATGCGCGACTCTATTAAAGCGTGACCGACGAAAAAAGAAAGAATGGATGTCTAATGAGATAATGGATATGATGGATGAAAGACGTAAATTCAAGAATAAAAATGCAGAAAAATACCAGCAGATCCACAAAAGCATAAGAACGAAAATTCGAGAAGCCAAACAAAAATGGTTATCCAACGAATGCAGGGAAATAGAACAATACGAACGAAAATACGACAGTTACAATATGCACAAAAAAATAAAATCGATGACAAACAAGAGGAAATTCAATAAGTCACCCAACAGCATAAAAGATAGCGATGGAAATCTTATCTCGGAGCCATCAACGATCTTAAAAACATGGAAATCATACATAGAAAAATTATTTGCATCTAACAGGACTGATGATCACCTATATGGAGAAGGAGAAACAGGACCTTCAATTCTTAAATCGGAGATAGAAGATGCCATTGCAGCACTAAAAAACAATAAGTCAGCAGGTCCGGACAATGTACCCTGCGAAATATTAAAGATCCTATGTAAATCAGACAAACAGTTCCTTGATAATCTAGTTGTACTTTTTAACAACATATATAATAGCGGTAAAATCCCGGAGAACTGGCTACAGTCAACATTTATTACAATCCCGAAGAAACCAAATGCCCAGATTTGTGATGACTACCGGCTTATAAGCTTGATCAATCATGTCACTAAAGCGTTCACTAAGATCATTCACAGAAGAATATATGATAAATGTGAGTCAAATATTGATAGATCGCAGTTTGGTTTTCGGAAAGCACTTGGAACTAGAGAAGCAATTTTCGCTCTCCAGGTGCTTATACAACGGTGTAGACGTTGATAAAGACGTGTATCTGTGCTTTGTAGATTTTAGAAAAGCATTTGACAATGTCAATCATGAACAATTGATAGGTATTCTGCGAAAGACAGGTATTGACGACAAGGACATTCGAATTGTGGCAAACCTATACTGGGGTCAAACAGCAAGAGCAAAAATTGGCAACGAACTCACTGAAAGCGTGCAGATCAAAAGAGGTGTCCGTCAGGGGTGTATATTATCCCCACTCCTATTCAATATGTATTCCGAGGAAATATTTAACAAATGTATGGAAAATGCAAATGAGGGCATTAAAATAAACGGCGAGTTAACGAACAATATAAGATACGCCGACGACACGGTGATCCTTGCCAGTACCTTAGACGAATTACAACAAGTAATGGAAAGACTTTATTCAGTTAGTGAGGAATACGGCCTGAGCCTCAACTTCAAGAAGACAAAGTGGATGCTGATAAGCAAAAAGCAACAACCTGCTCGACAATTACGGATAAGTAACATATTAATTGACCATGTAGAGTCTTATGTGTACCTTGGCACCAACGTAAATGCAAAATGGGAACAGACCATAGAAATTAAGGCGAGAATAGAACGAGCTAGAGCAGCATTTAGCAATATGAAAAAGCTCCTCATAAGCAAGGATTTGTCTCTTCCCCTAAAACTACGTATAGTTAAATGCTACATTTTTCCGATCTTGCTGTATGGCGTGGAGGCCTGGACGCTGACGGAGACGCTAACGAGAAAACTAGAAGCATTCGAAATGTGGGTGTACCGACGCATTCTTCGTATATCCTGGACCGAACATGTCACCAACATAGAGGTACTCCAAAGAATCGTAAAGGAGAAAGAAATCGTGAATACAATTAAACAAAGAAAGCTTGAATATCTAAGCCACATATTGAGACACGATAAGTACCGTCTGCTACAATTGATTGTCCAGGGAAAAAGAGACAGTAAGCGGGGGCCAGGCAGGAGAAGACACTCGTGGCTCCAAAATCTGCGGAAGTGGTTCGGGCTCACATCGGTCGAACTATTCAGAAGCGCCGCAAACAAGATCAAAATTGCCATGTTAATAGACAACGTTCGCAACGGACAGGGCACTTGAAGAAGAAGAAGATTGGCTAAGCGAAAAAAAAAACAAGTTTTGCTCCTTAATTTCAGTGTGATACAACAAAGTATTTATCTGGAATGTGCAGCTGATATATAATTTTTATATTGTAGTAATTTACCTACGTTTTACGAAATTTAGATAAGAGGTGTTGCAATGATGCTCTTTGCTTGGTCACTAAAAAGGTTTGTTCGCGTTAGATACCATATCGTTCGTGGCGATTGATACATAATAATGTTGACAAAATATAAAAGTCACCTTTATTAAAAGTTTTGAGTTGTGCAATAATATACCTGAAACACAAACAGTAGTCGACTGTAAGAGTTTACAATGTAAAAAAACAAAGAACCGTTATTTTTAAACGATACAGCACGATTTCTTTGTTACAAACGTTTACAGAAGTAAAATAAACCAACCGTCGAAGACGATCTATCCTCTACCACGACAACTTTACCGACCTTTTCAGATCGGCATAAACCTTTTGTCAGAGCACCAATCATCTTTGGAATTAGAATATCTGTTTGTTTACAGAGGGCAGCCTATATTTATGTTAACATGAGACATAAAATGAATTTCAGTCATCTCCCATTTTTCTTTCGATTACCTATCATTCGTTATTCTGAAACTTAAGCGTTTATATTGATATCGCCAACAGTAGTATCACCATTACAGTGACAATTCCTGTTATCAGTTGTCATTCGTTATCAAAGTAGTATCACCATTACACAAACAATTCCTGTTATCAGTTGTCATTCGTTATCACCAGAATAGAATTTAAATTTTAAATGCAGCATTGCCAAAGTTTATCAGTATGGGATAAAATGAGCCACATCTTCAACCAACTGTATCAATCAAAATAATCTTTACTATGGTAAAAGCATTTTAATTGAATTATATCTCTCTAGTTGCCGACAATTATTTTCCTTTGGAGTATATTTCAGATATCGTGTTGAATAATATTTTAATCAGCTTCTCATCTATATCGGTAATATTGCACATTTTTACTTGAAGTATTAAGATAAACGAAGCAGTAATAGAGAGAACTGAAGGACCTTGATCACGTAATGAAAGGAAACAAATAAACAATGTCAAGATTAATACCAGGAAAGATAAAAACGAAGGAGAGTGTTGGCAGGACAATTTCTGTAATTAATTTATTTATTACATAATATATATTATAAAACTTTATCAAGTGAGCCCACCACTCCATGCCCAATCATGCTCCTTGCCTACTAAATTGACTTTCTAGTCTCCTTCATTCACTCCTGTTTGTTACTCTTTCTTCCCAACCACCGATTCCCTCTTTTCTGCTGTCTTCCTGTAGGCTATCAAACCATCTTTGTCTAGGTCGTCCTTTCCATCTTTTTGTGGTTGGGTCACGTTTGACATCCTCTTCCTTTACACCCTTATCGTATGCCCTATCCATTTCACTCTCTGTGCCTTTATGATGCGACTGATACTTGATTCGTTATACAGTTCCTCTAGCTTCCTGTTTGTTCTTCGCACCCAACCTTCCATCGTGTTTTTGCTTTCATATATAATAGCTCTGAGCGTTTTCAATTTCCACCTGTCCAATCTTTTTGTATTTGCTTTTTTTTATTTTTATCGAGACGAGACGGAATGAGATTCTCGAAGTTTCAAATCTTGCCGACATCCCTATATATTTGTAATTGCCACAAAATAATGCCGTCTTTTTTTAAGTTATTTCAAGTTCTTTTACGAAATTGGGAAATTATGTAATTTAATAAAATATTTTTAATAAGTAAAAAATGTGGTACTTACTTTTATTGTCCAATCCTGCTTTGTATTTATCAAATCCGTTCAACCTTACTGTTTTTCCAATGGTTTCTAAAAATTCTAAAAATGCTGGGCCTGCCTCTTCGTTGTTGTACATTTCCTCTTCGGTGTTTTGGTCAGCCTTGCAGTACATTATACCAACCTAAAAAAATTATTATTTGTAGAAAACGATTATGAAACATTAAATAGACTATTCGCAGAAATCACACAATGTTATCTCCTCTACATGGGATGGCGATTTAAAGTTACGCCAATTACGTAATATTTTTTTAGCAATTCCTTAAATTATCCTAATACAAAGAATATCGCTTGAAATTTATTAGAAGAACCGTATTGAATTTGGGATCAACAGGTCCTTCGCATCTTGTTATACTTTTTGAATGACACTTTCTTTAAGTCTTGGTACTTACTACATAGGTTCTTCTCGATATAACGAAGAATACATCTTCATTCTCCTCAAACAAGACCTAGCGTCTTGTACGGAAGTTATTTTTGGTGCAAAGAACCCTATTGAACTTTTAATTAATAGTAACTAGTAGTAGTATAAGGGTAAAGTTTTTCATAATGTGCCATTATATATTAGAGTAGTGACCGTAGCTCAGGTGCCAAGATACTAACTCTAAGCCAGAGCTTTCGAGTTAGGTTCGGCACCGAGCAAAGGCATTTTTATTTCTAAAAATGATAACAAACCGTCACGGTTCGGAGGGCACGTAAAGCCATCGATCTCCTTTGGCTAGTGTGCATTGACACCTGGTAACTAAAGAAGGGTTAAAGATGCTCCCGGCAAAAATGCAGTACGATATTATTATTATACGTTGGAATACTGGAATATGGTCTTTTTTAACAGCTGAGTTAAAATAGTTCTATATACGATCTAATAATATGGAAACAATACTTACCTTATAGTGATTGGTAAGACCTTGTTCATCCAATTTTAAAATTTGTTCAGTGACGTGCTGATTGTGGATTCCGAGCTTTAAAGCGGTTAACTGGATTTCGGGGACTACGTATTCGAGAACTTCTTTGGTATTAAGTGTTTTGGGATTGCTGGAGGGTTTGATGTTTGGAATTGCGTCTTCCAAGACGGCGCCTCGGAGAGTTTGGAGTTCAGATGTTCGGACAACTAGCCTATAACAGAAAAAGAATATAAAACCTTAGGTCCACATTAAGAAAAGATATTGTCGAGAAACTTATAATCTTAAATAAAACTTAATAAAACTTAATAATCTATCCCCTATCGTTATCTATATTTGTCCTTAAATGAATCATCCTCTGAACCTTTAGTTATTATATCATGTATTATATAGATAGTTACAATGTGGTACTTTTAGCATATGATGCTTTCGGTCTATATTTATGTTTTGTTTTCGTCATTTTAACTTATAAACGGCATTTTCTGTACTTAATCAACCAACATCCGCGTTATATGTTCCAAGCCGTGAAAATAGTTGGTTGGTGTATGGATGACTGCACTAATAGCCTAATAGAAGTAAAATCACGATTTATGCAATAAAAAAGGAACAACGATCAAACTAAACAGAAAAAAGAATCGTTATCGGGTCGTTACAACACAACAAGAACAAATTAATTAATTAACTAATTAAGGGAGCATCCTTTCAATTGGACAAGGGAGGCAAAAGTCAAAATAAAATTTAATGGTTCAGTAACAACAGCATTACGAAGAATTAGAAACATTGGTCGGATAAACGTGCAGCTACCCGCCAATACAAACTTGGAAAACATAAACAAAGTACAGAATTATTAGTGCTATGACTTTCCATTATTTAAATTGCATTTTTGAGAATTTATCGAAAGAGCGTCACTGTAAACACTCAATAAAAACTCTTTATACGCCTCAGGGAGACGCATAATGCAATATCGATAGAACCAATCCTCGGGGAAACCCTGGAAATCATTCACTTGTCATCTGCCGGTACGTGTTACGCCGATTTCTTTTATAACATTCCAATTTATTTACAATTTGTAATATAATTACAATAAGTAAATTGTCTATATAACTTTTAAGAACCTTGTCGACCTGTGAATGTGCAATTACCTGTGAATTCTTGGCACTGAAACAGTGTCATATATGTCTTGGGGTTGGGATTCTGCTGCTAAATTCTGTTGAAGTTTTCCAATTTTTAGTTAACAGGTCGGCTGGGGACTTTCGTTTGAACCTTCGCCCGATTGGTTGTATTACTAAGTAAGGTTGATATGCTGAATTTGTGAGATTTAGTTGCGCGTTAGAGAAGAGTGGAACCAGTGTTACACGCAAAAGGATGAAAGCGTCGCATCATTATTACGAATCAAAAACAAAGTGAAACAACAAAATTTCATATCTCAATGTAATTCTTAAGAACATATATGCACAGAAATTATTAAAAGGATCGACTCTTCAATAACCTAATGAAGCACTTTCAAAGCTAAGCAAAGAACTTTTCATTCTGCAGAAAAGGCTAACGTGTGATAAGCAGTGGAGACTTTTCATGAAAAGTTGACAATTAAAGAACCTTTCAATACATCAATTGGTCACCGAATTTGTGACCTTACCATTCAATGCCGATAGAGAAGCGATGGTGGAATTTTGCTATGAACTGCAGACCATTATTACAGAAAATAATCTAATTTTCTCAAATTTATAATTCTGACGAAACAGGGTTTTACTGGCGAGCGACACCTACAAAAACCTGAGTTGCAAGTAATGAGATAATGCATCGGAGTATATACAAAGATATATAGACCAAAGCAGAATGCGAGTGGAAAGTCAAAAAATCCCCGCGCTTTTAAAAACATGAAACCTCAGAATCTTCTAGTTCACTACTATAATCAGCAAGATGCCTGGACAATTTTCACTAACGAAGATTCTTTCCATAAAAAGTCATTTCTGAAGAAAAGACTTCTTTGAAGAAAGAAAAGTTGACATAGAAGGCAGTTTTTCTTCTGGATAGTTTTGGTGTTCATCTCAACATGTAACATCAATTGAGCCAATTAATCAGGGTGTTATTGAGACAATAAAACATCTCTACAGAAGATAATTTATATTAAACTTTTTGAATGAAGCTGATCTGATGAAGTTTTGGAAATCGTTAATTCATGGATTGGAGTGAAAGAGAGTACTTTTAAAAGAGATATGATGATAAGGGAACTACCCATCGCTGAACTAACTGTATTAGTTCGCAACGCCCATGAGTTAGAAGAAATTGATAAAACAGATGTTGAGACGTGGACACGGTGTGAGAAAGATGAGCAAAGTTATCATCCCAGCAACGAAGATATTGAATTTGCCGGGTACGTTACAACCTGATTCATTCGAAAATGAGAGACAAGACTAAGAAAATGAGGGGATCAATCAGAAGAGTAACTAACCAGGAGGCTGAGGAAGCTGTCAATTTCTACTAAACTATTTTGAGCAACGAGAACCTTCGGACCTTGTCGAAGGTTCTCACCTTCAAAATGTACGTTATTTTTGAAATTGCGCAGAATAAGTCAGAAGATTCAAAATATTGAAGACTTTAAACATAGGCCAAAGTGACTGAGTTTTTTGAAAAGCATAACTACCTAAAGTATATAACCGCTGGAAATAGCACATAAGTAGAGGAGTGAGACAGGGCTGTGTATTTTCACCATTACTATTTAATATATATTCTGAAGAGTTATTTACTCAAGCACTTGAAAACTGTACAGAAGGGATCAAGATAAATAGTGAAAATATAGGTACCATCCGTTATGCTGATGATACAGTCATTATCGCTCAAAGTGAGACAGGCCTGCAGACGTTACTAAACACAATTTGTGATACTGGGAAACAATTTGGTTTAACAATAAACATAAAGAAAACAAAAACCATGGTTATCAGTAAGAGGGGCAAAGTCATTACAAGGATCCAGATAAAAAATGAAGATATTGAGCAAGTGGACAAAATGAAATACTTAGGGTCTGAATTCGCTCAAGAATAGAGCAATTAAGAGCAGCCCTTTTGAACATGAGGACATTTCTGGGTAACCAAAGACTCAATCTGCAAATCCAACATCTGATAGTAAAATGTTATATCCACTCTGTTATGACTGTTAATGTTGGCTTAATGAGAAAAGTGGAAGCTTTTGATATGTGGCTTTTTAGGAGAATTTTAAAGATACTATGGACCGATCATATTACGAACGAAATGGTGTTAGACAGAATGGGAAGGTACAGAGAACTTTTGACTACCATTAAAAGGCGAAAGACAGCATATTTGGAGCACATAAACACTGCATAGTGATATATTTTATTGTTCCACTTCTCCACAAAAAAATTTGTTCATATCGAATGCTTGTATATAAAATATGTATAATGTTGTAAACTGTACCCGTGTCAATGACCATAAGCTGTCGAGAAACATTAATTTTAAATAAAAAAAGTGGCTTAATTCCATATAAACATGGTATTTAACTTAGATCAACTCATTCGATCAAAAAAAGTTAGACCCAGTCAAACTTTTGTCGTTCAAGTGATCATCACGAATTGTTTTCAAGTTAAACATTGTCTTGAAACGTGTGAACTGGTCAATCAACATTTATTGACTCTGAAGCTGTTGTGGTGCCCAATAAACCTACATCATCGTCTACATCTGTTAGTACTGGCAATGATAAAACTGAGAACAAAACGGTATATTTAGAAAATACAAAAACTTCAAATCTGCCTAGTACAAAACAAAGTAATCTAAAACAACAGATATCTTTCATTATCGTCAGAATCGGAAACGAAAAATAGCAGAAAAAATAATGTTTAAGCTCCCCCCGGTACCCCGGTATATAAAAGAAATATATAAAGAATAGTCGGAAGGAAATCGTAACTTGTATATGTAAATGTTGAATGTATAAAGAAATAGGTATAAGATAACGGGAAGTACGGAGGGATAGAATAGTGTTCACAATTACATCCAAGCAATTAAAAATAAAGAAGAAAAAGAGAAACACCAACCGGGCCAACGACAGAGATAAGATCTAATTACTTTTTTAACGGGAATAAGATCGCAATTGAAGGTTAAAATAAGTTTATTGACAAATGAAATCGTAGGCTTCCACGGCCAGGGTCAGAATTATAGTTTATTCGTCTTCCGGGTTTGGACCGTGTCATTTGTGACCCAAAAGTGGGTTCATCTCGACGTCTCGCTACAATTGTATGTAGCTTCTTCAGGAGAACAAAGAAAAAGAAATCAAAAAGGGGGCAGGAAGATGGGTAGTTAGCAACGGTAACTCAGTTACTCAACGCAACCAGAGGCGAATACTAACTACCAAGATGGGCATTTAGTCACAGTAACTCAACTACTTAACGCAGCCAGAGGTGAAAACCAAATGCCAGGACAGGGATTCACGTCTAACAGCTCAGAACACTAACGCGTCGAGAGGCGGGGAGTGAATCCGACGATTACTCCGCTATCGCTCTATTTATAGTCGCGGTGACCTGTCGTGTCGGGACGTATCGGCACACTCCGTGGCGCGAACGTCAAGAAGCGCGCGCTGGCCAATCATGTGGCTGCATCGTGGTAGCGGGACCGGACGGCGGCTCTAGACTGAGATTCCAGATGGGAGACAAGTAGTATCCTTCCTCTCCATTGATATTATGTGGATTTTTTCGAATCTCTAGAGATTCGCGGATTTTCCTGGAATAAAAGAAGGGGCTCTTAGAAATAATATGGGTTTTTCGAACAATATGGAATGACCGGTTTCTTGGCAGTGTTCTGCAACTGCAGAATGGGAGAAAAGACCTGATCGAATGCATCTTTGATGCTCTTGAATCCGAGTTTTGACGGAACGACCAGTTTCGCCAATATACACATGTCCACATGAACAAGGAATAGAATAGACACCACAGGAAGATAGGGGCGGTAATGGGTCCTTAGGAGAAGGTAGATATTGTGAGATTTTCTTGGGTGGTCGAAAAGTAGTCCTGATACCTTCTTTGCGAAGAATTTTGCCAATCCTATCAGTGACACTTCGAATATACGGAAGAAAAGCCACAGGAGTATTACCCGAAGATTCTGAATTTGTCGTCCTAGGGTGTAAAGGGGGATGTAGATGTCGGTGTATAATATTTTGAATTGTGGACTTGGAGTAACCGTTAGCGACAAGGGTTTTTTGCAGATGGCC